TATGACCTGCTTTGTTTTATTTTCAAATTACATTTTTTCGGCGCAGAAGCTAAGTTAAGCTTGATTCAAAATATTTTAAATAAACAGTATAATTTCTGTTTTTATTAAAATCAGTTTTGAAAAATGATAATTGATTTTTTAAAAGAATATCAAAGTAAGATTTTAATCTTTTTTATCAAATCGAAAAAATGATTGAAAATGATTCTGTCCTTTTTTTGACCAAAAAAAAACAATATTTTTAACGAAAACTTCAGACGTGCTAGGAACGATTAAAAATGTAAAAAATACCCCAAAATACTTTGATCTTTCTTCTTTAATAATAATATGAACATTAGACGATAAAATTTTGTTTTCGTCAAGTTCGGTTTCTTTTTCATCATGCTATGCTCTTTTGTTTACATTTTCGTGGGTGAGTTCTCCCCCTTTCATTCTCACGATGTGTCTTAATCGTGTTTTCAAAATGATTTTATTAAAAAACAACTGTGTTTTTCCCATTTTCGGTCCCGTTAGAACCACCACAAGGTAATTTTATGTAGTCCTGTGAAGTTTTGTTGAAATCGGCTAAAAAATGTAGGAAATTCGATCCAACATATAAACGTTACAGACACACACACACAACCTGCGTTTTATAATAAGTAAGATACTTCCCTGATTCCACTCTTGATGCATATACTCTTTTGCTTTTTGTAAGCATTCTTTCTTCTTCCTATAAATCTTCTACCGAAATGTTTTATGCTTCATTTTGATCTCATGTTTCACACTCCTCAATAGTTCCACCATTATTTAAATCTTCGAAATGCTTGCCTTGTTTGTAGATAAATGCCCTCTTCTTCTGAAACTGACTGGCTCTATGCTGGTATCATTTATTTGTCCTTCTGTGCTTTAATCTTTGTTATAGTTGTTATAGTTGGCGCAGCACAAAAGTAAGATGAAACAGATTTTTAGAAATTAAAGTTTAAAGAAAAGATTACATGTAATAACGAAAAGTGGGTTTTATTTAACACTAGAAGCATGGCCCGGCGTTGCCCGTGCTTGATTAAAAAATCATACGACTCATACATCAATCGCTATCACTTGACTTTAAATATTTTTCCCTTCCCTGCCTTTAAAGGAGTGCCCTTTGCCGAGATGATGTTGCTACATGCCTTACTTCTTGCCTATCTCACACTGCGAATTTCTTCTAAGCTCTATACTAAAATTAAATCTTTTACGAAAAAAGAACTAAACAAAATAGACACAAAACGATCAGCTTTAAAAAAAGACTCGTAACTGGAAAAACCGAATGAAAAAAGAATGTTAACAACAAATACTTTTCCACATCCAACCCAGTTCTGCGGAATCAGAATCAACATTGAGTTTATGCAAGCGAATGAGCGTTTTGGAGTAAAGTGCCATACAGATTTAAATTTTTTCCACTTGTAACGAATGCAACTATCGATTTTTGTTGCGTGCTAGCATGCTAGTTAACATTCGTGTCAGTCAGCTGTTGGCTCTCACGCTGGCCAGTAGAATATTCCTGTCTATTCGTGGCAGCCAGCTATAGGCTCTCACTCTGGTCAGTACAAAATGGCCGCAAACTACATGAAAACTGCCGTAGAATCGATTATTTCCACTATTAATGAGAGTTAAGAAATGCAAAGTCGGTCTTGGAGCATGTGCATGTAAATTTTGGTGCAAATCCGTCAAAAATTGCGGCTGTGCATTCGTTACACACACATACACACACACACACACACCCTGCCTTTTTTTAGATAGAGATAAATTTAAAATATTTTTTATAAACAGTAGGGCTGAGTTTTAAACAATATTCTTTGGGAAATGCTAAGAGTTGATAAGCATGCGAGAGCCCAGAAGGTAGTTGGCTTAACGTGTAGCTATATGTGGGAATGAGAGAGGAAATCTTTTTACAGTTAATATTAAGGCGACGGATAAGAATCGTCGCTAGTCAAAGAATAATATTATTTTCTTCTTAGAAAAATAGTTGGATAGTCACATGTATATAAAATAAAGAAATTTAGTCAATAATATCAAAGAATAAAAAGGTGAAGTATTTACCGATAGCCTTTTCTTTTCGAGGACTGTGGGATTCTTTCGATCGAAGCTTTGTTCATGAATCAAACGGACCGGAGTCAACCTCAATCGTCGTGGCTGTGGAGTCAGGAGGCAAACTGGCGAGTTGGTACGAACTCCTGTTTATATATGTTTTTCGTACCCTCTAGAACCCAGTAGAAGTTTCTAGACACTTCTAGAAAGTTCCATTCTATTATTATGAAATCTAAAGGGTTTGGTGAATGGGAACTTTTCGTAAGGTAAAAAGGGCATCTAGTAGCTACAGATTTAAGTCATGATTTTAAGCTAGGTTTTGTATTTTAGTAAGTGTAAAGAGGTAGAGCAAAATGGCGCCTCGTAATATATTTCTTCCCTCGCAATAAATAGTCTCTTTCTTTTGAGCTCGTCTCATCTTTTTTGTACACCACCCTACTTGTACTTAACAGTTTTCTCTTCGTTATGCAGCCAATATCCTGAGTCAGTTGTTTACGTTGTCCTGCTAAATGTCTCTTCCACCATGGATTTGTCTGTTTCCCGGATGTCTTCTTTATTCTTATGAGCAAAGTCAGTAGAGCTGCATTAGCATAAATTAAATTGTTGATCTCCGTGATATTAGATACCTTTACCTTGCCCAAGATCTTATCAACTCTTAGTTGAGGTCGGCAGCCTACATTTCTGAACTTCCACTCAATGCCGGCAGTCCTAATTTATTACTACGCATGAAGATTTCTTTCAAATTTTCAAATCTCTCTCCCTCCCTCTCTCTTCATCTGCAAAGACTTCACCTACCTTCAACATCAGGCCACTTTTACTTATATCAACTTCTGTGATACTGTTACTTTCATCGATACTGACATCCTATAAAACAAAACAATCTCCCAAACACCGTCTTCATGTTCTTCAAATCCAAGAAACCAATCCTCTTCTCCAGATAAATCGAAACCATTCATTTCAGCGGCTTTCAACCTTAGTCATGGTTTCTTTCACTCTAGATAACCAACGTTTTTTTGCCAGTTTTGATCTTCTTTATTTTTTTTCACCCCAAGAAAGGCGGGAAGCCACTAGCACGCAAGGGGTTACAGAGAGTTGGAGTGAGAGCAAATAGGAGTGATAGAGGAAAGGATGAAGAGAAGGATAGGGGATAGATCAAGCCATCTGGACGTCGATTGACATTACATCTGGATAGTTGGAGATTATAACTATCAGGGAAACAGGAAAAAGGGAGGGAGATCCACAGGCGGAAGTGCGACACACGAAGCTATTGGAGTACAAGAGACGGCTACATTGAAAAATTTTAGACAGTGAAAGTGTGTGAGCGAGCTGCCAGCCTAGTAGAACGCTTAAATTCATGAGGTCTGGGAATCAGCGAAAGCAGCTCATCGGAGCAATTACCATGATAGTAAAAAAGACAGAGGTTCTACATTGAACATAACTTTCTCTTTCCAGATCAAATATGCATTCTTTTTCTATATCCTGTTACTGATGGTTTACTCTTATAATAACGCTATTAGTTCTATTTACTTCATGAGACCAGTTTTTTCTCTTCCCCCTATCAGTAGAAAGATGACGACCAAACCCATCCTGCTGTGCAATGGAGCATTTGGCAGGGGGAGATAACTTCGCTATTGGTTATCGTTCACTCGTTATTCTCAATATTTTGCTTGAACATCTAATTCACAATATGAAGGTTAATAAAAGCTGAATTACCACCAGTACTGTTATCAAGATACCATCTATAGGAGGACAGTTGGTTAAAGCGAAAAAGCTACTCCTGCTCATAAGACATGGTTATACCCCACCGGACATCAACCCGGTATTTTTTTAAAATCAATTCACCCCGAGTAAGGCGATAATGCCACTAAGACACAATGGATTACCGGGAATGAATTAGAATGGTAAAAACTTTAGAAGGAACTCTAAAGCTAATGCTCAACAGAAAACAATGGATAACCTCCTACTCCTGTACAAATAACAGTGGAGGGTGGAGGGGTGAGGACAAAGCGATAGGTGAACCTCTTTACTCCTGTTGAAGGAAAATACAAAATTAAAAAAAATTAATAATAAATATAATTTCAGAGTTTAGGCGGAGACGTTAGAAGTATAGAGTTGAAGTTGACTTTAGAAGTAACCGGAAAGTCAGTTTTAAACAGAAAGCAAGGGATAAACCATTACTCCTCTTCTCAAGACCGGGGAGGAGTGTGAACCGGAAAATAGGCGAACTTGTCTACTCCTATTATTAGTATTATTGAATGAAAGAGAAACAAATCAACAAGGTGAAGGTGTTGTATGAATATAGGAAGCACAGAATACCTATCATGACATACGGTTTGATAAGGGTATACTAAGAACATGCCAAGCATTCAAACGTACACGGTATGGGAACAGTATCTGATAAAAACAGTGCATGACTTTGTAGGTGAAGTTCAATTCAAAATACCTTCAGGTCGGATAAACCAGTCCGCCCAGGAATAGCTTACCTTACCCAATCTGCATGTATTATCATTATTAGTAGTAATAATGACACACAATTCTTCATTTTGTTCTACGATGCAATCATTATTTGTTTGAGAGGTTTGCGCAGAGAGCAAAATAGCTTTTGGATAAGTTTAACAATTTAGATAATACTCTGTCTATATATAATATATTGGAATCATAGCGTAATGGTAACCGCGATTAAAAGATTAAATAATTGATTCGGTTATTACGGCTTATCAGCCCTTTGTAGGTTAATTAAAACCAGATTTTTAGATTTTCTGTTTTGAGATAGTGTTTTAATGACACAAGTCTAACTACTTAACCTTATATCTCGGGTTGTGAGAAGAAATGGATTCATACCTCTTCTAATGGTTTTTGCATGTAAGTAAATACAACGAACCCAACTGGAATTGAAACTCGGCTATCCAATTAATAATTCCGGGACATTATTCATTACGCCGCCAGTACATCCAAACTTACAGCACGTGATATTCCCAAGGGGTCGCCCACCTAGATACTGACCAGGCTCAACGCTGCTTAACTTCAGTGATTGTACGGGAACTGGTTTTTCAGCGTGATGTAGCCATAAACCTTAGAAGAAGGAGAAGGTGGAATTTTTTAAAGCCATTTTATTACAACAGTCGTATTTCTTACAAATTTCCATGTAACGAACTCATTATTATATGCTAAATGGGAAGTTAACTTAGGAATGTTCTACTCGGTATGGTTCAAGTTATATATATATATATATATATATATATATATATATATATATATATATATATATATATATATACACATACACACTCCCGAAGAACGAGATGATAACATAGACTTAACACAGACATATCCCTTTCCCAGGAACCAATTAATCTGTTAAAGTATCCAAGGGAATTTAGAGTAGCATGAATGTATCCAGCCTCTATCTTTTAAAAAAAACAACTTAAAAGAGGCTTGTTTGACCAACACAAGGACTGACCAAAATAAAAGATAAAAAAACAAATGAAAACTAAACCTAAAGTTCATTTTCTTCAGAAAGTCATTCTTTCCGGTAGTTCACTGCTATTAACGAGCAGACGTTTTTTCTCATGATGATAGACATTCTGGTCAAACTAGTTGAGGAATCTAATTGAAATAATAAAACAAAAATATTAATATACAACCCATTATGTCTGAAAATTTTAATTTTTTAATTTCTCAATATTTTTATTGTTGAAAACACACAAACACGCACGCACACACACAAACACACACACAGATATGTAACCGTCTACAAGACGACATCATCGCTAACATATGTTTAAGTATGTTCAATTAACTTTCCTTTTCCCTATTTAGTATATTCCACAGTTGTCTTGTTAAGTGACCTTTAACAGCTTATCTGTGTCGCTCTAATCTGGAAAGTAAAGATTGGGATTAATACCGCGAATTAGAGATGCTTTCTTGACACATGAAAAAAAAAGAAAAAAGAAAAATATAAAAGACAACATAGGTGGTGGATTTGTGAGTAAGTACAGACTTTACTAATGTTCGCTAGCTTTTCTTTTTCGGTGTTTGAGAGAAGGCATCTAACATATTTCTACACTTTGTTATCATGTTGTATAAAATAAAACTTTCATTGACATTCTATCGAGTTCTCCTCAGCCGTTCTTTATTTTTTTGCTTTCTATCTTAATATTTATGTAGATATTTCTACTTACGATATGTACTCTTAAGGCCACCCAGATATGAATCAATAAACATAACAAGTAGATATTTAGCAATTTTTGTCTAGCACAAGCATATAGTAGTTGCGTAACACTTGCAGATCAATTACTTCACATTTTCAACGATCTCATATATATTTATGTAGGTATTTATCAAGTTTTGTAGGTGGCAGAGATGATAATATTTTGGTTTGAGCTCTCTGTACGCGAAAGACTATGTACGTTTCTCTTAACATTCATCATAACCTCAGAGAGTTTACTCCAGTCAGTATCGCAGAATGACACACACTAAAGATCGGACTGACTACAGTGTTTTTCGTTAGTAGTTCCTAAGCCATAACTCTTTAGAAGTAATTCCCTTACTTTTTTTTTTTAAATTCATATCGCACTTGTAGAATAAGTAAAAATCTGAGGCACACTTAAAATTCTAATATGGAAAAATTAGTCATAAATTTTAAAAATAGGAAAATAATCGAGAAGTCTCCTGAAATAAGCATTTATTTCAAAGACATTACTTTGTCTATTTATCCTCTTCCCCTCCAATTAGTTTGTGAAAAACGTTTCATTTTCACCCGAATATTTGTCTTTCTAACATAACTAAGAAACCGAGGCACCTTGAATTAGCCGAGCCGTGGCTAAAATATCTACCAGACGCGTTGACAGTTGGGCCAATTTCAAGCTCAAAAGGGCATAAAAAGAATCATGATCACGTATAAACACGTCTGTAGCTGTTTTTTGAACGTTACGTCTGTGTTCTCAAAGGACACTTTAAGTAATACTTATATACACGTCTACGCCGGAGAATGGGGTGAAGTATGTTTGTATGCAACCTGTGCTTGATATATTTTTGCCTTTAATGGTTGGCATTTTGGTTTACTATTTCCAAAGAAGATTAACTGTACAGTTTTCTTTTATAAGGATTGTTGAAGTCTCTTGCTATTTTTTCTTTCTTAAAGCACAATTCTAATTGATTTAAATCCCCTCGAGGAAGTCAAAACGGAAAGGATTATCTACACCTTAAATATTAAGGAATGTAGCAATCTGTTTAAAATATCAAATACAAAGACAGAACTCATGTGCTTGGTGACTCTAGGTTTATTTAAAAAAAAAAATAATTCACCAATTACTCTTCTGTTAATTTTGGGTGCACCTGGGTAACTTTCAGGGCGAAATAGTGCGAACGGGTGCAATAGTGCGATCGGGTGCACCGGTTGTAAAACGTTGCTCTTTAGTAAGCGTATTCGTTACACGCTTTCTGCTACCAGGCACTTTATTAGACACTAAATGCTCAGACGTGTAGGAATATTGTAATTGTGAATATCAATTTTATGCGGCTGTTAGAGAGAATTCTCCAAGTGTTATCGTCAAATCGATTACATTATAAAACCGTAAATTGATTTCCTCCCGATGAAAATATCTCCGATCTGACTTATTGGATTTCAAATTCAATAAAGTTGAATTCATAAAACGATAATGCAATTGCAATCGGTAAAAAAAAAAACAAAAACAAAAAAAGAAAACACTAAAAACTCGTTCCTCAAAATGCACATTTAAAAAAGAACAAACTTTTAAACTCGATCACACTTAGCCGGAGATGCTGATTAAATCATTATACGCGTAAACATGAAATCTATCAAGAGATGTCGCTATTCCAAAAATCCTGTGAATGTAACTTGAAGTAAATAAAATCCTATTCAACAAGTTTATTGTCACAGTTAAAGCCTGCGTCTTTTCTACAATAATCTGTCTTGCTTCACGTACACAAGTGAATATTTCTTTACCTTGATAAAAGATTTAACGATATGTCATAGTATTATGAGACAAGAGGATTTAGTTGGTAACAAAGAAAGTACTGATCTGCTACGTTATATCTGTCCTTTACGGCAGCGAATGTTGGACGGTCTCAAAGATGAAGAGATTCAACAGAGGTAAGATTCTACAGAAGAATGTTAAGTATATCATGGATGGAGCGTGTGAGCAACGATGAGGTTTTGGAGAGAATGCAAACAAGTAGGAAGCTTATACTTAACATCAGGAAGAGGCAGCTGAAATTTCTGGGACACATAATGAGAAAGGAGGGCTGGAAGAATCTCTGTTTGCCTCTATACACAGGGCGTATAGAGGCAAAGAGAGACGAGGGAAAGCAACGCGTGACATAACTGGCGGGCTTAAGCGAGTGGATGACAGAACGTGGTCTGGGAGAGGTGGCAGAGGGACAAAACTTATTGAGAGCTACAAGATATAGGGGGGAAGTGGGGAGCCATGATCGCCTACGTCTTGAAGGGACACGCTGCATAAAAAAGAAGCTTAAGAACGGCGGGGGTTTATTTCAAACAATTGCAATGAGAAATGATACTTTTCTTATCAGGCTACCCCCCCACCCCCCAGATTTTATAATGTAAATGGAGAATTGGTTAAACCTATTTATTTGATAATGTACAGCACAAAGACATGCATGAAATAATAGTATGGCTTTATTTGTGTTGAAACTTGACTAATGCATGGAATAATAATGCAACACAAAAGGTACTTAGAACAAAATGTATTGAAACAAGAAAGTGTACACAATATTTACATATAGTCTTTTGTATATTCCTGGTAAGACCGTTCCTGGAGAATGTGTTGACTGAGTCGCAGTCGGGCAGAGTCTCTGGTTGAATCTCTTGATTCCTCACTGTCTTCCCGGTACCAACCATATTTATATGGTCGGCACTCCACTATGCAAATTAGGTGGATCCTACCACAACAATTTGCATGGGGATAGAGATCGAATTTAATATAGAAACAAGATTGGAAAGAAGTGTAAAACAATTTTTTTTTCAAAGGACTATTATAGCTTCGAGCGAATGAATCCTGTATGTCTTAGTGAGGACTCTCCGTTTTTGAACATTGTGGGCTGGCGATAGAGAATTGCAAGCAAGATACTTTACCGACTAGCAGAAGTCATATCACATGAAGACATTCAGATACAGCAACAGCTAAAATGAATATTCATGCAACCTGAAAAGAAAATAATTACAAAATCAAGATGAAAGATGGATGTGAACTTCTTCAACGTACAGTCTCATATAGAGGCGGTGGAAATTTAACATTACTTTCGTAAAACTAGCATAAAAATAACCACAAACACGCACCTATCCATATAAATGCATCTATCCAACATACACAACCATCCAACATAAACACCCACCCAAACACATACAGACACAAACATATATATATATAAATATATATATATATATATATATATATATATATATATATATATGATAAAAATAACTGGCAATCCGTTTGGATAATTCCAAAGAAGATATAGATCCAGAGAGCTCAATGTAATAATAGAGCAAATGATAATTAAGAAAGCGGGAGACTTAAAAGAACAAACAAACAAAAAAAAATCATGGTAATATTTTATTTCGCGAAATCGAGATTTTGACTTCGTTTTAACAAGAAATGGATTTACAATTCTTCCAGGCGCAACACGAAAAGCGAAAATTAACATAAATTGTGTTTTAAAATATAACCCACCTAAAAAGAAGGGGGGGAAGGAATGGAAGATGGAGAGAGCGAGAAAAACGGAGATATATTTGTCTAGTGAGATATGGAGGAGGTGGGTAACGTAGAAGGTGAAACGGTAGTGGATGAGAGTAAACAAGTTGACCTCTTATTCACCAGCGTGTATATATATATATATATATATATATATGTATGGAGAGAGAGAGAAAGAGAGTTGTGTGTGTGTGAGAGAGAGAGAGAGAGAGAGACTGTGTGGCTCATAAGTCACTTCGCTTGAGGCCTTCAACAACGGCAACATCTAAAAAGAATACCACATGTAACTGGAAAAAGAAAATGATGACATATTCAAGAAGTTGACATTCCA